GGGGGGGGGAATTATTAGAACTTTAGGAGTTCATTGCTGTTGATTATTTATTTGGAGATGATTTTAGCCACTCACTTTGACAATAACCGTTGTAGGCAACAGTGAGCTCGTGGCTTCCTTTTTTGCATGCGTGTTTCTTGAGCCTGCAGAGGCTACGGTAGCTTCTGCCGTCGGTACCACAGACTGGACCACTTCCACCACGTGGTGATTTGCACTCTGGACTGCAGACACACCTCGGTCTTCCCCGTCTGACAACACACTTCTTACCCTCTTCACAGCGAACCTCTGCGCAGCTCTCTATCCCCAGAAAACCAACAGAAAAATTGGCTAACGCACGGAAAAAATGATAAAGTCCATTCGAATTCAAATACTGAATCAAAAATATTAATAATGCCCAATTGCCAGTTCAAGAATTCATATTCTTGGATTGGAAATTCACATTTCATGATTCTAATCCCTGTATTGGGGTTCTTCCAATGGGAGGCAGGATATATTCCTCAGAATCTATGTGGATCCATTATTATTATTGATCCAGTGTTTTCTGGATTGAATTCATACCTCGACAAGGTCGACACTGGACACCACCTCCGAGGACTCTCCAGAAGAACAGACTCCCGCTGTCGAGATCCTCGTCGGAATAAGCAGTCGCAGCTGCTGCGTTTGATGCGCAACACTCCTGCCTCGTGACACCCTGGTTCATCAGCTCTTTGCACTTACCGTTGCTAATTGAAGACCAGCAAATTCCCCCTGAAAAAAAAATCCGTGACCACTCTAAATTTTATTCAACAGCAATATCACTCTCTGAATATTCAGAGAACGTGACTCTGGAAAATTTATTCCATCAATGTCAAGCGATTGAGTAATTAACGCAATTAAAAAATTGGTTTTGTCCCGAAATTTTATTTTCTCGGGGACTTTTCATCGGTAATTCCTGATGCGCGTACCCCGCGATCTTTGATGCCGTTGGCATTCGTGTCGTTGAATTCTTCCCCGGAGGCTAAAGTCTCTCCACCACCGGAATTTTCGTCTACACATTCAGGCTTTATGTCCAGTGGTATTTTACCATCTTTATATGGTCTCCTAGACAAGTTGGTACATTAACGCTTTTTTTTTTCTTTTTTTGTTGACTCGCGGGACAAATTCCAACGAGTGATCGCGTGTTGCGCAAGTATCGTTTAATTAGCGCCTAGACTAGAAAAGAAACTCGATGGGTGATTAGCGTGGAAATGTGGAACAAGGCCTGGGTGAGAGATGAATTTTTGTTTGGAGGTAGAATAAGAAATCTCATGTTTATAAATCGCCCATTATTTTTTGTTATCGCGGGATTGATTTTAATTCACTGCTATTTTATTTGCCGATTGCTGTTTAATTACCGAATATTGCCATTGAAATTTTTCCGAAAAAGGTAGTGAAGCTGTTATATTCCCTGGGAATTCCTGTTCCCAGACTTCAACTTCGCTTCAAAATTTTATGAGGGAAACTGGTCAATAGAATGCTCCAAATTTGGAACGTAATTATTCTTCTCGGTAATATTTATTACTCGACATTTTCCATTTTCCTTGGTTTCGAAATAGATTATTAAACTGTGCCATCCGGGCTATTTTTTTACAATGCAGAATGCGGATATTTAACCCGTGGGAATGACTCGACTTGATTTTATCACTCGCATTGTTTCTTTCGTAGAACAACTGGAGGGAAATATCGAGAGACAAGGAATTTTCGAATCGACTATCGGATTGCACGTGAGTCGTGTTGTGAAAATTTCTCCTGATTTTACATGATTTATTGCGCGGGTAAATACGAGATAGAGAAGAATTCGCGGGTCAAAATTACACGGTATTTTTACGAAGTCTTTGGGACAAAAATTCCCGGTAATTTGCGATTAATTTTTTTTATGCGTCAGTTTGGTTGAAGACGATTTTCCCGGGGAACTCTCATTTTTTTTTTTTTTTTGGTGTATCAACCGGTGACGTATGATGCATAAACTATTTTTTTGAAGCTCTCAGTATCGTGTTTCCATACTCCAATAATGTTGCAACGGAGATTCATGCCGACCAAGTGTCTCGAATTACCAATTTACCCAAGTGCCCCTTTATATCGTCAACGTGCATATAAAATCGGTGCGTGCAAGGATGCCGCAATGTATCGGATAACGATAATTCTTTTTTTTTTCTTTCTGAATCCTCTGGTATCGGTTTCAAAAAAATTTTTTCGACAGTACGTCGACGTCTGCCTTTGAGTTTTTCCAAAATCTTTGAAAAGTCGGTCAAATGTATTTCCTAAATTAAATAACAATTTTATCTCGATCGAAAGAAAAATACGGGAATTTTGAAATTGCGGGGTTAATTTCTTGGGTAAAAAAAAAATTGTAATCGGAATATTTTTTCCAAATTTTCAAAAATTTTCAAAAAATTTCTGGAAAATTTTTCAGAATTTTTTTTTTTGAAACAAAAAAAATTGGAAAGCAATTCAATTATATTTTTGGGGAATGTTTTGAAAACTTTTTCAAAAATTTGTTGCTGAAAATTATTAAAATAATTTTCTAGAAATTTTTGCGAATATAATTTTTTCTATTAATTATACCGTTTTTTCTTATTTTTATAATTTTTCAATATTCTCCGAAAAAACTTCATCTAAATAATAAAAAAAAATTTGGAAATTTTTCAAAACCTTTCCCAAAAATGAAATAGTTTAGTTCTCCGATTTTTTTTTGTTTCATAAAAAAAAATTTCTGAAAAATTTTCCAGAAATTTTTGATAAATTTGAAAAACATATTCCGATTACAATTTTCTTTCACCCGGGTTCACCGTAAAATTACCGGATAATTACGAAATTACTGATGTGCAATTGCTAATGCCGGAACGAATTGAAGGGACGAATTGAAAATGAGACTTGACGATATTTATCGCCTCGGTACCATCCAATCTCCAAAACTCGTAACCATTTCACATGGAGCACGTCCTCAACTTCATCACAACTTCTCATTACCCCCCCTCCAAGAATATTAAATAACAGTCATTACACCCTAAAGTTCCACCGATTTCGCATTATTGTATTACCCCAGCCAGTAATATTTTTATTTTTCAACTCCGATATCTCAAACTGAACGATAAGAGAAAAGTAAACACAACACGAGAATCAAAACGTATTTATACGATACAGAGTGTAATTGAGGAACCAGTTTTCGGGTCAGCGCTCTGTATCTGGTCTCGCCGACATTTAGCCGATGCATCTTTAGTCTTCCATCGAAAATAAAAAATTTAACTAAAAAAATAACAACAACAAAACCGAAGGGTTCGGTGGGGCCTTTTGGAACGGTGCGCCAATTCACTCTCGCTCATTTCTTTTTGATTTTTCTCCTTTTTCAAATTTTTTTTTATCCTCTTTCTGCTAGTTATTTTTCCCTTTGGCCTGCGCTCTGTTCGCTGAATTTACACAGACGAATTTTTCACTCGGCCTTTCTTCCTGCAGCCGCAAGGTCGCTGAAAATAAAACCCGGAAACAATGGACATTCGCCCTTTTCAAATTCATTACTTCATTCATTTTACTGTTAATTCAATTCGACAATTTCGAATGAAAAATCATCAGAAATTTTGATGCGCCGGGGAATTCATGGAATTTTTAAATAAATTATTACGAAATTCTAACAATTACATGAATAATAATAGTAATAATTAATTTTCATTAATTATCCCTATTATTATTATTTTCATCTTTTCATTCATGCTCGAATAATTTGAGTAATAATTTTTTTTGGTATTGATTATTTATTCGTTTTGGTAGAGGGTGCCTGCTGTTTAATTTATTGGTTAACGGGTTATGAGGGGGAGGGTAACGAGGGGCTGGTTATTGCGATATGGACAAGTGTCAAATGAAGTCGTCTGTGGCACACATCAACATCAATTGGCATTAAATGATAGCTTGCACCTACAATAATTGCTCATGATCGGTTGCAGAAGTCAAAGCGAATAAATCCTCGGTCTTTGAACTTCAAAGATTTAAACAATTATTCCCATTTTTCAATGTTCAGTAATTTATTTGATACCGACTCAACCAGTCGCAATGACGTCGATATTATTTATCAATTTATTTATTTATATTTATCACTTCTACAGGAGTTTAAATTAATGATAATCGATAGTTCTTTCTTGCACTCGTCTTACGTCGATTACAATTTTTTTAGTTTTGTTTAAAATTGTTTCTCCTGTTTAAACATTTAGAAGAGATATTTTGAGGTGCATCGAGGTGATTGTTTATTTATCCCTCCGGTGAATTCTTTAAATGTTAAAATGAAGTTTCACTTCATTTCATTGTGTAACCGTGCGTTAAAGTCTCTCAAAAATCGTAATTCATTTCCCTATTTTTTTGTCGCTCGTCATCGAGCTATTAGCGGTATAAAAAACGACGAATTACTGTGGAAAAAAAAATGGCGATTACATCGATTATCGAGTACACGTCTCATATAAAGGGGCTCTCGCTCATTGAGATGTGAGAGGCTGAATAAAAAGACTTCGAGGAACTGAAATTGTTATCCACTTCTTAGAAACTTCTTTTCACCTTCCTCGGCCGAAAGAGTGAAAAAAAATCGTTGCCGAGAATTTTCAATTGATAAAATTTCTGCGAAATGAAGTGCATGGAAGTACAAAATTTTTTTTTTTTATTTAAAGAAACACTAGGGAATTAATTGAGGAAATTGAGTAAAATTGGATAAATTATAGATTAATTGATTGAGACCATTTGTTATTGTTGATTATTTATTCAATCAAATGAAAAGTCAATCGGTTAAATCGATCTCAATATGATGACGTATTTTTCCCGGTTCATTCGCCCTCGATATTTATTTATTTTCGCACGTGTTTGAGACAGTCTGGTATTCTCTTTCTTTTACGATACCTCTTTATCATTTTATTTTTCCCCTTTCGGTCTCAATGGAAACGATTAATTCTTCAATCGAGGCCCGCGACGTCACTTCATGCCCTCGACTCAAATTACGTCAGAGATTCCCCGACGAAATCCGCATACCCATGATTTAATTAATTTCCCGAAATTGATTTATCCAAAAATTAATTTTTCTAAAATATCAAATATTTCTTGGATTTATTCTCATTCCGTTATTTATCAATTAATTATTTTTTTCCTTTTATATCTCAACGGGAAAATAATTAATCAATTATCGGTGCAGACGATTTTTTCACCGAATATAATCGATCGAGGGAAAATATTAATTTACCCCTCAAGTCATTCCTCATCGCGACAATAAAAAATTTAACGACAATTCCACGTTCGTCCTCCCAACCGGAGTGTTACAGCATCAATTAAATTTCCATGTGAATGTCTGATAAATCCAATTTTATCTCAGAATTTTTCCCTTTTCCACCAATTAAAATTCATCATCACCAGAAACCGCGAATTCCGCGTAGAATTTTCTCATCTGCCTTAATGAACATTTAACGACTTTTTTGCTCCATCAATTTCCGTTTTATTGGCTAATAACAATTTTTCTACAAAATCAAAACTAAAAATTCCACCAGCTGTAATTGTATATTCGCATTGTTTAACATTCAATGGGATTTATCGTCGGAGTAAATGCCCGTTTTCTCGTAAATCCGTTCATCAAAAAACGAGAAATAAAAAGAATTTCTCGCGTCGACGCGCCAATACACAAACGCACCACCACTTGTTGCTCGAAACAAACTAAACGTCATGCCCCCCTCCCCCTCCCCCTCTCCTTCCCCTGAAAATTATAAAAAAAATTATGGCATAATGGACCCATTGGAAAAATCGGTACCTCTTTTTTTATCGCGTACCAAAAACCTGACTTGGAGTTCAGGCGACAATTAAATTCACTGGTAATTGAAAAAGAAAAAAGTACTGGCAATTGTAATCGATGTGCGAGGAAAAGGGGAAAATCAATATTGACTAGACAACATTGTCGTTGTAGACGTGAATTAGCACTGAATTAATTGGCCATTTAGCACCGTCTGGTCGCCTCGTGTAATATGACTAATAAATACCCGACTCACGCGATCGGACACTTTACATTGTCACCGAAACAGATAAAACATTACAAACCCACATGAACAACACAATTGTTACAATAAAAAAATCATCAAATCCTGATCGACACGAAGAAAATTCACAAATAATCGTTACAAATGTTTAACAAAATATAGCACCAATAATTACTCCGCAAAATTTCCACGTAAAACAATAAATACATATATACACAATATTATACACCCATTAAATGATATATATGTATAAATGTGTAGATATGTATTTATAATGATTGATGAAAAATTGAAAAGAATGAGTAATTAATAAAATCATGATGATGTGTCAAAATAATTGAAATCAATGAGTTAAATCACAATTATTTGCGATGACAACAGAAATTGATGAAGACGAGAATGATTGACAAACCTGTAACACAGTGTAATTGCAGAAGTAGTACGATGATTGGTGTCAAGAGGATGATGTTGTATTGGGGTGATGCAGTACCCCGTCGCGTGCCCGTCATTTCAGGCGCCTTGCGCCTTCCTCTCTCGCTTCCTTGATTAACGCTAACAAACGATAACACAATCCTCCACGAGTCCATCAACTGCACTTCACATTTCATCAGCCAATAATAATAATAATAATAATAATCCCCTCCCCTAAAAATAGGCCCAATCAAGAGTACCTCCCTTATCAATAAACTGTTGCACTCACTGTTCCACTCCCTCTCTGACGTTATCTCATACACGTGAGGTAAAACTCCCAGTGAATGATCAATAAAAAAATTGATATAATCGATTGTTTCAGGTGTGATTGGCCTCTGGGGTATGTCATGGGGTAAGTCACAGATTTTATACCCCTTATTATTTTTTATATCAATTCACTCATTTACATTTCAATTAAATTATCACACCTTGGATCAAGGCCACCCCAGTATCCCGCAGCGAGACGATCGGTATTTCTAGCTATCCAACTTATTACGTTGTACATTTTTGCCTCGATTTTATCCACTATCGGTGTCTTTTATCCCCCAAGTGTGTGACAGCACACTAGTGTATTTTTAACTTACTCCAATTCCGCCTCAGGTATTCAGGTGGGCGCGCACTTATTTCCCTGTCAATATTGAGTTCTTCCCCCCGGAAATATGAGTTTCAGGGAAAATCAATCATGCCAATCAATCGGGAGATTGATTATTTTTTTATCTCCCTCTTTCCCGGAGTAATCGATTGATCTCGGGGCTTTTTTTTTGGGGGGGAGGGGGGCAATTTTTGGTGATTCGATTGAGTGGGATTTTGGAAAATTGGTGAATTGCGATTAGTTTTTGGTGAAAAATAAAAAAAGTGGGAGACGTTTTGGAGTAACACCGGAGTCACGCGGCCTGCACGAGAGTCGAACGACGTCGGCCGATAATCACCCGCGCGCACGAGGAATTGCTCTGATGCCTGCACCCCACTTCGAAAATCTCCCACTACTCCACCACCTCTGTACCGTCCGTACAGCTCTTGCCTGCTGCTAGCTGCTGCTCACTGCTGCTGGCTCTACTAGTAGTTGCCCGTGCGGTCTCTACTCTTTCCACCACCTCCACTACCACCCCACCTATACCCACCACTTCTCCTTCTATTTCAAACGGAAGAAAGACTCATGTTAGAGAATTCGAAATTTCGGGGGAATTTCAGGGGCTTCCAGGTTTCATGGTGTCCAGGGGACAGGGAGTGACTGGGGTGAAAATCAGTTTTTCTCTGAATTTCAGGTTTTCGAGGGGTCAGGGGGATTCGGCTATTTTTAGGGATGGGGGGATGGGGCGTGGGGAATTTCAGGGATTTTAGGGGTGGTTTTCAGGACTCAGGGACGACGGGTCATTTGGGGGGAATTCTGGAATTTCAGGTGTGGTGGGGCTGCGGGGGAATTTTTGAATTTTTCGGTCGGCGCACGCAGGGAGAGGGAGGCGGAATTTTAGGGAGTTGAGTGATCGGTTTCAGGACGCAGGGACTAGTTGGATGATATTTCTGGGGAAAATACGGGGTTTCAAGGGCGGATTTGTAACAGTTTTCAGGGCTCAGGCAGGGAGAAGAAAGCCTGGAGTCTCAGGTTTTCCTGAAAGCTTCTGGAAATTCCAGAATTTCAATTTCATTCATTCAATAATGGGCAAATCAAATGCTAACTCGAGTAAAAAAATTGTAATCGAAATTTTTTTTCAAATTTTCAAAAAAAAGTTGGAAAACAAAATTATTTTATTTTTGGGAAACATTTTGAAAAATTTTTCAAAAATTTGAATAGATTTTTTCTTATAATTTAGGTGACGTATTTTCTAAGAATATTAAAAAATTTGAAAAGTAAAAAAACAAAAGTATAATTAAAAGAAAAAATTATACTCACAAAAATTTCTAGAAAATTATTAAAAAAATTATCGAAAACTAATTTTTGAAAAATTCTTCAAACCATTTCCCAAAAATACAATTGTTTTGTTCCCCGATTTTTTTTGTTTAATTTCTTCTTTTGTTTTAATTTCTGAAAAGTTTTCCAGAAATTTTTGAAAAATTTGGAAAAAATATTCCGATTCCATTTTTTCTACCCGGAAAATTGAAGGGTTTTCCTCGTGAATTTCAGGTAAAAATTCAATCGGAATGATTGATCATTTAAATCGGTAAACGAGTGAATTCCACCAGCCTGAAAAGCCTGAAATTTCTGAAAACTTAAATTATTCAATTCCCGCCGACATTTCCCAACTTATTGTATAGTCTCGCGTCATCAAAACGTCTCATAAGTACCTCTCGAACGCGTGGGCAGTTTGTAACCCGCGTCCCAGACTAGACGCATTTAAACTGGCCTTTCATTCTTCAGCAATTTTCCTCACCGTCTATATCCTCATAATCACGCAAATCCACATTCTCGAAACGGGTACGTGTAAATATAAAGAAAATGCGTGGGTGTCTCCTGCCATTGTAATTGGTGGACGAGCAAAAGTTACGCCCCCTGGCACGTGACTCCAGTGAATCTTCACCAGAAGAATTCAATAATAATAAATCAAAATCCGGAAGTAACTATTAAAAAAAAAATTGCACAAATCCCACTCGAACGAACGCGGAATTCCGACGTAATCAGGCTTGTTCCATAATTTTTATTCTCAAACAAATACGCGAATTAATTCCGTCCTTAATTTTCGTGTAAACAATTAAATTATCAATGAAAAATAAATAAAACAATTTCTCCGAGAAATTCGGGAGAAATTTAATTTTTCAATTTTTGTACAGATACTTTTGGTATTGACAATTACAAAAATCTGTCATGGAATTTTTTTTTCTTTTCAAATTATTAATTAAACATAAATAAAACAATTTCTCCGAGAAATTCGGGAGAGATTGAATTTTTCAATTTTTGTACAGATACTTTTGGTACTGACAATTACAAAAATCTGTCATGGAATTTTTTTTCTTTTCAAATTATTAATTAAACATAAATAAAACAATTTCTCCGAGAAATTCGGGAGAAATTGAATTTTTCAATTTTTGTACAGATACTTTTGGTACTGACAATTACAAAAATCTGTCATGGAATTTTTTTTTTAATTTCGAATTGAGTGAAAAAAAAAAATTGATTCCGAGGTACTGCGGGCGCGAGCGAAGGCTAGATTTTCTCGCCGAAGATAATTCAATACAATACGTATCAATTTCGTCTATTCCTCTTTTCACTCCATTTAACCCATTTGAAAATAGAAATGGGCACCACAATACTAGCGTGACTGTGGTTGGGTTTTTGCACTGCAACCGGACGTTTGCATCCGGCCCAATAACCCACGTAAAAATAATAAAATAGTATCCATGCGGTTGTGTCTGGCTCTATTCAGTTTATCATCCATTCAGCCTAAAAGAAAAAAATGTTAATCTCCATTTTTTACAATAAAAAGCCCCAACGAAAATCTATTCAAACGGATTCCTCACGATTTCCTCAAAAATCTCCAAAAATGAAAAATAAATGAAAAATCAAAATCACGTGTTGCTATATTTTTTGCAACAATCATCATAATTTTGTCACGTTGTTTCTGCCCCTCTGCATGATAAATTCATCATCCTCGTCCAGAATATCAAGAGCTTGCAGACGGTTTTCAGGTACCACCCGAAAATAAACGACTCGCGGTATGAAAATAAAAACAGGTTGCGGTCCCCCAGAAATAACGCAAAAGAATTAAAACGAGAGGGAGACTGCGGGGAAAAAAAAAGAGATGGTTGTTTGATTGTAAATAAAAAATAATGGAGAACAGGCACTGGTATCATTCGTCGCTCCATTCATTCAGCGTCAGGCGTGTTCTTAATATGGCATAAGCCGAGAGGAAGAAACCCGATGAAAAGGAGTAGAATTGAATTTCTTGGTTGTCTTCTCGATTTTTACGTTGTCTCCCTCTCCCTTACCCTCAGTGCGACCAAAAAAATTTCTCCACCAATTTTAACAATAATTATTATTAAATTATTATTATTATGATTAATTATTATTATTAATACTAATTATTATTTTTATTATTATTAATTATTAATAATGATGATAATAATAATAATAATTATTATTATTAATTATTATTAATTAATTTTAATATCCTCTCAATATTTTAAAAAATAATACAGTTCCAAAATTTTTTGCACTCAGTGCGAAAAACGATTGATCAATCAACACCCAAAAAACCTTGAAAATCAAATAACATTGAATGCAAAATTTTCACAATAAAATTTTCCAAAAAATTAATAAATTTTTTCAAATCCTCAATATAACTGGAAAATTCGTAAAAATTCGGTTTGATTGGAAATAAAAAAATTCAAGTTAAATCGTTACAGTGAAAAATTCAGGTGACACTGAGGTTTCCTGAAAATTCAAGGAGAATAATGACACCACACCCCCGCGTTAAAAAAAAAAATGATGATCAAGCGAATTCATAAATCATGTATAAATGCGCACGTGCTGAGTTAAAATCTCGCTGGCGTAACGAGAGACAACGGCGACTCTTTATAAGGTATTCCCTTCCAAGGCACATATCACAAAAGACAGAGTAAAATAACCAACAAACAGACTAAAAGTTGTCCACCCCTTATCCCCCTTCCCCCTTGAACGTTAGTTGCATTATACACCCGTTGACGCAAACATCATTCGCCTCCTATATCTCTCTCTTGGCTTTTTCGTCGTGCTGTGCTTTCGTGACGAGTTCCCCAGCTCCTTGTATCGTCCAACAATCTCCAGTCACGCTCGCATCAACTCCGGGCTTATCCAGATGAACTCCAGGAGTTTTGAAAAAAAAATACCCCGCGAAAAGGAAAAATAAAGATGCAACGAATAAACAGACCCAGTTGGTACTAAAATTGTGATATAATTAAGCAATTCGTAAGCAGATTATTATCGTGTCGTTGGAGTTCAGTCTTGACAATGTCCGGAGCTTCTCTCACACTATTTTATTTATCTCCCCCTTGTGTTAACTGTTAAGAATTGAATTTAATTTAGGATTACGGCTTTTGGGGTGAGGGGAAATTCCGGGGGGACACGTCGCGAAAAAATTGACGGGAAATTCAGTTGTGGATTTTATTATTATTTTTTTTATCGGTGCGGAATTTATTCGCGATATTATGGGGTTTTTAAATCCATTCTAGCCTTTCGTCTTAATTCAAGGCTCAAGATATTCCAAGATATTTCAAGATATTCCAAGATATTCCAAGATTTTCCAAGATTTTCCAAGATTTTCCAAAATATTCCAAAATATTTTCATAGAAAATTTTTCAAATCTAGAACTTGACGGAATACAATGCCCCCAGAAACGGTCAATTTACTTGATAAAAAAAATCTTCGAATTTAGTTGAAAA